CTTGAAACTATTCAAATTATTCTTATTTCGCTCTTAAAGCTTCCTCTATGAGGAAGCCATAACAATGGAAGCAATGTGCAAATTTCTAATTAGAAAAAAAGTAAAATAAAGTGTGCAAATTAGAAATTTGCACATGGCTTCCTCATAGAGGAAACTTTAAGAGCGAAATAAGAATAATTTGAATACTTTCAAGAAACATCGCAGTAAAGTTAGATTTCTCTCTTAAAGCTTCCTCTATGAGGAAGCCATAACAATGGAAGCAATGTACAAATTTCTAATTTGTTTACTTTAATGGTGAGGAAGAAATGTGCAAATTTCCAATTTGCACGCTTCAATGATGAGGAAGCAATATGCAAATTTCTAATTTGCACACTTTCAAGAAACATCGAAAAAAATTAGATTTCACTCCTAAACCTTCCTCTATGAGGAAGCCATGTGCAAATTTCTAATTTGCACACTTTACTTTACTTTTTATTTATAATTGTTTTTCTAATTCATCAAATATGCTACTTTTTGTATTACATGAAAAACTTATAAATCGAAAATGGATTCAATATATAATACATCTATCCTCATATATTTCTATTAAAAATATTAACGAAAGAAAAATGTCACTTACTATAATCGCTAGTGATGATTAAAAATTAAAACAGTGAGCTTATTGTCAACCCAACTGACAAATTTTATTGAATTTGTTTTAACCTTACTTCAGGTCCTTTTCAAGTAACAATACAATTAAGAAAACAAGAAAAATTCATAGACAAGTAATTCATCGTCACCTGATGTAAGGTCGAAACGTTGTAACGAATTCAATCAAATTTGCCAGCTAGGTTGACAATAAGCTCACTGTTTTAATTAAAAATATTAACTACCCCACCAACACATAAACGTTATATAAACGTTTAAAACCCGCTTTTCGTTTGTCAACCTGCCGAATGGTTTGTTTCTCTAACGACCTAAACGTCTTGTGGAACAAGAAGTTCAAAGACGTTGCATGTACGTTTCAGAAACGTTGAGATCCAAACCTTGCTTCTTCTCCCTGCATAGAGGGCGTATCCATGCCACACTATACGTATTGCGAATTGTAAATCGCGAATCGGAATTGAGTCAATCAGATCCGAGGCTGTCTTTGATTGGCTGAATTAAGATCCGCATCCGCAATACGTAAGCTGCGTTCGGGGAGATATTAGCGCTATGAGCGTGCTCTATCCTTGTTACTTGCGAACGTTGAACAAGGACAGAGTACGCTCATAGCGCTAAATAGCGTCTCCCCGAACGCAGCCGTAATGTGACACGGACTTAACATTTTTAAGATAAAAATGAAAAATTTTTTTGTCTGAAGATTTTTTGACTGAAACAGTTTTGTATGATTCGATGTAATTCTAGCCTATATGTTTTATTTTTTGTGAAACACGTTTCCAAGAAACGTTATGTGACAAACGTTCGTAAAACGTTTTCGCAATAACCAAACGATGACCAAACGTTTGACTCGGTGGACATTTGCACGATTGGTGAACGAAAACGTTCGAACGTTCCTGAAACGCTTATATAACGTTTATGTGTTGGTGGGGTATACCTGTTAAGAATGTAACTTTACTTATTTCCAAATAAATGTTTAAAATTCAAGAGGAAATTAGAATACAGCATTGAGTTGTAATCAACATGCAAGGCCACTGATTGTATTTCGCGCCTCTTCCGAATAGATCATAATGTAGTACCCCTACTATGTACCGATGTCGCCACATTTTAAAGTCAAAAGTGAAACTTTTCGGTCCTATATGTCGTTTCCGTTTTCACTATACTAGTCATTCTTCTATTTTGTGCCGATCAAGTCGCACGTACAGACAACGATAATTCGGAAAAAATGGGAAAAAGCTTAATGAATTCATTAATACGGAACATTTCAAATTAGAAGATGGGAAAACTGTGAAGCGTATGTTGTCGAAAGGTTATTTTATGGCGTCGTTAGATTTGAAAGATGCATATTACTTAATTCGTATTGCTAGGTCGGACAGGAAATTCTTGAGATTCATGTTCGAGGATGTACTTTATGAATTCACGTGCTTACCGTTTGGGCTAAGCACAGCTCCATACACTTTTACAAAAATATTGAAACCGGTATAATTTCTCACCTAAGAGAAATGGGTTTCTTATCGGTAATCTATTTAGATGATTTGTTGCTTTTAGGCGAGACATACGAAAAATGTTTAAAGAATGTACAAAAAACGTGCAGGTTACTAGAGTCACTAGGGTTCATAATAAATAAGGAGAAAAGTAGAATGGATCCATCGACCAGATGTAGGTTTCTTGGTTTTATCTATGATACAGTTACAATGTCTATCGAATTGCCAGAAGAGAAAGAAACAAAAATCGGTGAACAGATTAGAAAAATTAGCACAGTTACACAGTGTTCCATCCGAGACTTCGCGAAGTTCATAGGATCCTTAGGCGCATGTTGTACAGCATTGAAATTTGGTTGGGTACACATGAAAGATTTCGAGAGAGAAAAGTTTTTGGCGTTACAAAGAAACAACGGTAATTTTGAGGCTTGTATGTTATTAAATACTGAATTAGAAAGAGATTTTAACTGGTGGAAGTCACATATTACTACGGCAAAATGTGCCATTAGAAGGTTCAGTCCAGTCTTGGAAATATTCTCAGATGCATCACTCTCAGGTTGGGGGGTATACTGTCAGGGCCATAGAACTCATGGACATTGGAATAAAGAGGAAAAGAAATGTCATATCAATTATTTAGAATTGTTATCGGCGTTTTTTGGTCTTAAATGTTTCGCAAAAAATCTAAAAAGTAGCGATCTTTTGTTACGAATCGATAATACGACTGCGATTGCCTATATAAACAAGATGGGCGGTATCCGTTTTAAAAAATTGAGCAAGTTGGCTAAACAGATCTGGGAGTGGTGTGAAGAGAGAGATCTTTGGATCTTCGCTTCATATATAAGATCAACAGAAAATGTCGAGGCGGACTTCGAGTCGAGGCGTTTGGAGCCTGAAACGGAATTTACGCTATCAAATACGGTTTTCCAAACAATAGTACGAAAGTTTGGAAAACCGGATATCGATTTGTTTGCGTCCCGGATAAACACTAAATGTTCGCGTTATGTCTCATGGAAAAGAGACCCAGGAGCAATGGCCATTGACGCATTTACGATCAATTGGAGACAATTTTATTTTTACGCGTTTCCTCCATTTTCGGTCATACTTCGAGTTCTGGAAAAAATAAAAGCTGAAGGTTCAAGGGGTATTGTAGTGGTCCCGAAGTGGCCGGCCCAGGCATGGTACCCAGTATATATGGCAATGTTAGATTCTGATCCCTTATATTTGACACCAAATAAATCTCTTCTGTGTTCTTTTGACAGAAAACCACATCCACTTTGGGAAAAGATTACCCTGGTTGTCGGAACATTGTCAGGGAAGCGTTCAAGCGGAGAGAGGTCCCGGTAGAAGCATTAAACATCATGCTCTCCTCGTTAACAGAATCCTCGGTTAGACAATATGACTCTTCTCTCAAGAAATGGTGGAGATTTTGCCAAAGTAGGGTGGTTATAATCCATATGAAGGATCGATAACTGAGGTTCTAAAGTTTTTGACAGAAGAGTTTCAAGAAAGGGAAGTTTCTTATAGTACACTCAACACGTGTAGATCAGCAATAGCCTTGTTACGAGGTCCAGAAGTGGGAGAGGATACGAGGGTAAAGAGATTCTTCAAAGGAATTGAAAAGCTACGACCTAACAGACCCAAATATGATTCTACATGGGATCCTAAGGTAGTATTGGATAAGATAAATCACTGGGGATCTAACGATGTTATGACATTAGAGAGATTATCCCAAAAATTAGTAACACTTCTCGCCCTCATCACTGGGCATCGTATCCAAACACTGAAACTGATTGACATTAGAAACATTCATAAGGTAGAAGAGGTAATTGAAATTAAAATTCCTGATAGGATTAAAACATCGAAGCGCAACAATCCACAACCGACACTTATCATACCTTTTTTTCGTGAAAACATAAATTTATGTGTGAGGATTACGTTGGAAACGTATCTTCAAAAAACCGAAAACTTGCGTGGGTCAGAAACAAAGTTATTCATCTCCTTTAAAAATCCCTTCAAAGCGGTATCCAGCCAGACCTTAAGTCGCTGGATTAAAAATACCTTAGTTTGTAGTGGAATTGATACAATTAAAAAAACGGCAGGGTGGTCCGAGAAGTCAGAGACATTTGCGAGATTCTATAATAGAAACATAACATCACCTAGAGATGTTTTTGCCAAGTGTATCTTAGGTATTGCGCAGTAAAAGTTTTGGTTAAAAATGCAAGGATAATGCTCTTACAATTTGCGTTACAATCGATTAGATTACATATAATCTAAAGTTTCCTTTTACTAGATGGGTTATAACACTGTCTAGAAACGTTTTTCCTTTTTCTTTTTTCCCCCTTTTTGTTGACTTCGGAATCTTGTTATTCGATAACAAACAATTAGGATTCCTAATGTATTAATTTTCCGTTTTAGTTATATATTACACTTGGTTGTAATACAAACATGATATGAAATAAAACTTCTTCTGCCGTAACAACTTTAAATATCTACATTATGATCTAGAGGAAGAGGCGCGAAATACAATTAAATGATTAAACGAACTTACCTGTAAGTGAAGTTCGATCATAATTGTATGAAGCGCCTCTTCCGAATAGATCAGTCCCACCCAGTTTATACCCGATTCTAATCTATTAGAACCCCCAATAGTTACGGCAGCACTTTAAATGAATGACTAGTATAGTGAAAACGGAAACGACATATAGGTAGGACCGGAAAGTTTCACTTTTGACTTTAAAATGTGGCGACATCGGTACATAGTAGGGGTACTACATTATGATCTATTCGGAAGAGGCGCTTCATACAATTATGATCGAACTTCACTTACAGGTAAGTTCGTTTAATCATTTAATTATTGCAAGAGGTTGAAATGAAACAAGCTTTATGTGTTCAACATATTTTAACAACATTGTACTAGTAAAAATAACGCTTAACCAGTACCGGCGTTAGGGCGGGGCGCGGTTGAGCGATCGCCCAGGGCGCCAAATCTGTAGGGGCGCCGCTGTCTGGTTTCACCTAATTTGAGAGTAAGAGAGATTCCCTGAAATATAAAAACAAATGGGGTTCGTCGTTCGATATTATCACCCTGTCTTTTCTTTCGCAAGAATTTCGAGCCCTTGAATTTGAATGGGCGCCACGGATAATCTTGCCCAGGGCGCCAATGTTGCTAAAACCGCCACTGCGCTCAACTTCGATCTTAGTTTAATTTGCCCGGTAAAAAATGTGTCATAGATAAACATGAATATATTATAAAATTGCAAACTTTCGATAGCAATATTGCAGCAATGTTTAAAAATTATAAAAATACTATATTTTCTATTAAAAAAATTTTTCTAATTACGAGTATTTTATAATGTTATTTTCGTTGATACCAATAATGCGCGAATTATTAAGTACTTCCCAGATAGCACAGGACATCCTATGGATGTTCATTTTATGTCCATTATACATCCACACGTCCATGGACATGAAATGGACGTCCATGGTATATATACTTAGAACATATAGACATGGAAGAGGAATAGGGACTTGAAATGTGTCCGGAGGAAGCGAGAAAGAAAATCGTAGCTCTCTCTCGTGAGTTACTGCTCGAAAGTGCGCATGCGCGCCAACTCACACACACACACCGATGCTTGTGTGCGCATGCGCACTTTCGAGCAGTAACTCACGAGAGAGAGGCACTACGATTTTCTTTCTCACTTCCTCCGGACATATTTTTCTCTCGAGAACAATAGGCATTCCTCTTCCATGTCTATATGTTCTAAGTATATATATCTCATTTCAGACATCCGTCAGTGGTCAATCTTTGGACGTCTACAGGACGTTCGGTCTTAGACGTTAATGTTTCGCGCGAGTTTTGTCTTTTGTTTCTCGACTGTCGATTTATCGAAGAATGATTGGCTGCGTTCAGCAGAAAAAGCTGCTTTGCAACTGTTGTAAAATTCGTGAATCTGATTGGTGTATTCTCTTAATCTTGAGTGAATTTAAGAGCATACGCCAATCAGATTCACGAATTTTACAACAGTTGTAAAGCAGTTTTTTCTGCTAAACGTAGCCATTGGCTATCACTGCTTCATGTCCCGCGGTAAACTTTCCGCGTCCTGTTGTGCAGAAGCTAATAGTTTTTGCAATATTTTTCTTTTCAAGATTTATTTAAATTACGTTTTTTATTTTTATTTTATCACTTTTTTGTAAGAGCAAAAGAATGATTGGCTATTACTGCTTCATGCCGCGTGGTAAACTTTCCGCGTCCTGTTGTGCAGAAGCCAATAGTTTTTGCAATATTTTTCTTTTCAAGATTCATTTAAATTACGTTTTTCACTTTTATTTTATATAATGCAGTATAGATTATAGATAAAAAATGTATGAAGCATTTATATTTTATTAAATGAGATATATGTCTTAAACTCTAATTGTGATTGAACTACATATTGTGATTTAAAGTATTAAACTTGATATTTATAAATTAATACAGCTGTTTTGACGTATCTGGCTTTTTATTCACGTTGTTACATTAACGACGTTTCGATCGTGAATTACGATCCTCTTCAGGTTTAAAGAAAGACGAACAAGAGCCAAGTAAATAGAAAATGTATCAATATACTGTTGGACTAAATATTTTGTGCGTAATAATATTTTTTATGCGTTAATTTACATATATTTTTCGCTTAGCAAACTGTATGCCATTATACAGGGTGTCTGATGCAAAAGTAGCCAACTTGAAAATAGTGGTAGATTGGGTTAATCTAAGGAGAAATATTATGTGCCGCGGTACAAAAGTAACAATAGTTTTCGAGTAATTAATTTACACGTCTGAGCGAATAAGGATGCAGGAGACGGTAGGCCGGACTCGGATGGCATTTAAGAAAATCGATCGATGAGCGGGAGGTGGAGCGACACGCGAGATACACCGTGGTGGGAAAAAACCTAGGCGCGGCGGGGAGCGCGGCGCGGGCGGCGAGCGCGGCAGCGAGCGCGAGCGACGGGCGACCCGAAACATAAACATAGTATCTCGCGCGTCGCTCCACCTCCCGCTCATTGATCGATTTTCTTAAATGCCTTCCGAGTCCGGTCTGCCGTCTCCTGCATCCTCATTCGCTCAAACGTGTAAATTTATTACGCGATAACTATTATTACTTTGTACCGCGGTACATGATATTTCTCCTTAGTTTAACCCAATCTACCACTATTTTCAAGGTGGCTACTTTTGCATCAGACACCCTGTATATAAAGTGAACCGTTGCACCGATTATCGTCAAATACAATACCAGCCATCTCTTAATCACACTCAATAAATGTGCCAAAGTAGAAGGCGATATCTCAAAAATTGCGGACGTGAGAGCGCGAACAATTATTGCGCACATAGATACACACACACATACATTTTTTAAAAATTATGTTTTTTGAGTTTTTAAAACATTTTAAACCCATTGGCATTGAAAACTGGAAAAAAATTTTTCGCATGAAAACAAAGCGTCCTCTATGAGGAAGCAAAAGGTGTCAGATCAACTCTTATATTTTCAAATTAATGCGTTCATTTTGTATATACGCAACACTCTATAATAATCTTCTTAGAAGCATTTAATCTTACATTCCAACAATATTACAATCTTATTTAAGTACTATAACTGTCGCTTCAAGAATATAATTATTTCGACAAAAAATTATTTTAAACAATAAAACTTAGAAGGCTTTGACGTGTAATCACAATTCGAAGGAATAAAGGATATAAGAGCCAAGACAGGATGTTAGTGTCTAAATGATTTTTTTTTTAATTTATTGCGAAAAATTTACCTCAGCCAGTATTTGAACCTGGATTATTTAAAATTATTTCAATCATTATAATCTTCAATTTGAAAATATACGTTATTTTCTATCCAATATTGTTTCCTTTCCACACATTCAAGGAAATTATTCTTAAATAATAAGCGAAAGAAGAATTTGCTTATTGTCACCAGTAATGATTAAAAATTGTGATGGGAAACTTAGAGTCAATCCAAATGGCTAGTTATTTAATCAGTTTATTACACAACGTTTCGACCCTATTCTTTTGGGTCCTTTTCGAATGATACTAACAATAAGTCAATCATCATCGATGTATATGTGTGAGCACTGTGGTAGCTGGGCTTGAACTGTCTTATTTGACGACGACGACTTAGTATCACTCGAAAAGGACCCAAAAGAATAGGGTCGAAATGTTGTGTAATAAACTGATTAAATAACTAGCCAGTTGGGTTGACTATAAGTTTTCCGTCTCAAATTTTAAATAATAAGCATATATTTTCCTTGATTGAATTATATAAAATTGCTTCATTGAAGTAAGTTTTTCTCCCTTTAACGCAATATAATCTCATTTCAAGATTTTCACGTTAAAACTAAATATATTTTCAAAAGAAGAATATTCTTTTATTCTGTATATGTATATAGATATAGCTGAACTGTTTAAATCCGGTACTTATAGTCAGATCTTATTATTCAAGACCATCTTGAATTTATCTAAAGATGCTGTATAAAACATTTCATTCCCATACAGCACAAATTGTTACAGAAAGGTTTCAGAAAGATTTCAAAATTATTTCAATATTTCACATTTCATGCTCAACATTTCAGACAGAATTCAGACTGAATGCT